ATGATGACAGATGGCTCAAAAAAAAGTAATCACAGCGGAAGAGTGAAAAAACTTTGTATACATTTGATTAGTGATTGCATTTCTTCATTAAATGCCAAAACTCTATCGATGTTGTCAAAATGAATTCTGTAGGTTAAAAAAATCACTAAAAATGCAGGCGTTGCTAAAATCTTTCGTTATTGTGAAACAACATTTTTTTTCAGTTTCTTCGGTCCTAATAAACAAAATGACTTTTGTTAAAATGAACGAGTGTTTCCTTAATCAAAGCTGAGTTTAATGTTCAAGGAATCAATTTTACAATAAAGTCTGATTTATTCTTTGTAATTTGATTTTGATATTCTATAAAAATAATATATGAGTAAAATTGATCTTTCTGCAGAGCTATACACTTTTTCAATAAGTTTTTCCGCCCCATAATTTCACATTAATATTTTTTGCTTTCCGTTTCATTTATTTGCAAACAAAAGCGATTGCAAAATGTACCAGTGGTTTTGAAACCTTAAATCGATTTCTTTTATGGAGCCTTAATGATCAAAACATGGTGCGCGGGGATTATCAGTCAACCTTGACGTTTTTATACGTGATTATCGGAGTCAGCTGCACTGGGAAAAATAAGGAGGTATTAGCAGAGCGCTTAGTTCATTTTTTCAAATTTCAATCCGGTTCTTCAATGGGTTATTCACAATCAATCAAAGTCGGCCCAGATTTAATCTCCACCACTGGTAGACCTGGTTAGAGTCACTTAGTTAAGTATGCCAGTTATAAATGGAGATTTCTGGTGATAAAAGAAGAAACTCTATCATGTGCAGATAGTGTATTTGATTTGCTTCAGATCATTAATTACAACGTTCTTTCACGCACGAAAATCCAAAAGTCAATTTTTTTAACTCGGTTTCGAGTACGCTCCTGTTTTTCTTGTTAGTTCTGAAAGTTACTAGAAGTGATGCGAGTTTTGGTTGATTTTAGAATTCTGATGTTTTCAAGGCTTTTTAGGCTTTGATGTTAATGTATTTAGGCTTTCCTTCGAAATTTTATATGAAGCCAAAAAATTCAATTTTCAGAGCTTTCGACTGTTAGAAGATTTTTCATTATTTTTTTTTCAGGCTAAAAGTTTGAATCATACAGCAGAAAAAAACTAAGCGCCAGGTTTTTTCATGTTTTTTCTTATGATTGGAAAATCAATAGTCATGATTTTAAAATCGATTTGATTGAAACAACAAAACTTTCAAGGCATGATATCTCCATAATGCTATGCTGATTTAAATTATCTGGTCAAAACGAATAAAACTTGAAATTTAAATTGCGTTTTTCTCAAACTCGGTTGACTTCAGACAAAAAATGATGAACACAAAACTTGCGCAAAATTTCAGCAAAATTAATGTGTTCAATTTATATAGCAAAAATCGGGGGCGGGGGTAAATTTTAACCTCAAAAATGACCATTTTTGTCTTTTTAGTCAATCAAAACGCATAAACTATTGGTTCGGAGGCTAACAAAATATATCAAAAGGAGCCTTCATTATAGCTCAAAAAAATTCAAGAAGGGTATAATTGTTTCAGTTTTGTCTAATGATATTCTTTTTTGTTTGACGCCAAAATAATTATATTCTTTTTTGTTTGACGCCAAAGTACTATTTTTTATTTAAAAGCAAATTTTAGACGATTTGCTTCAATTTTTGGAGATTACACGCTTGTAAAATCTTGTTGGATTGCATAAGAGGCTCATTTTTTACTAGTTTTGTCAGCAATTCAACCAATTGTTTTTGAGGTTAAACTTTGGACCCGAATTTAGCAAATAAACAATTGCACCATTTTAATTCTGCTGAAATTCTCAGCAAGTTGTGTGTTCATCAACTTATGTCTGAAATTAACCGAATTTAAGAAACACGCGTTATAATTTCCAAGTTGTATTCGGTTTGTCCGGATAATTTAAATCAGCACTGTAATAAGGTTTATATGAGATAAAAGGTTTAGCGGCACATATAAACATAAATTTTTTAAAAAAATGCAAAAAAAACACTTCAGCTATTGTCTTATTTACCATTCAGCTAAGCTCTTCAAAAAAGGAAAACCACTTTGCAAAAACTTAAAAGCCTCAAACATCCTAATTACTTGTAATCACAGAACCGAAAGGGGTCATAATTCTTGTAATGAGCATTTCTGAAGCAGCAGAAAACGATTTTTTGTTTCAACTGCAGATGCTTTAGAAAAACACATGATGTAAATTTATAAGTTCAGGAATTTGGGATTTACGCTTATGCTCTTAGAAGGGAAGTCTAATTCAGATTAGATGCGTAATATAAAAAGTAAGAACAGAATTCGTGATTAGAAAATGTGCTAAAAATGTCACTTCTAATTAAGGAAGAGCGTCTTTTTTCGACTGCACAAAACAGTTTCCTTCTTTTTTACATCAAAAGTGATCTATAATTTTTGATTTGGGCTATTAGATCATATTTGAAGGTCAAACTCAACATTTCAAGATTTTTCATTTGCGGTTAGCATTAATTTTAGCTATACAAAATTAGCTCGAAAATGGAAAATTGATAACACCGTCATACGGAAAACAGATATTCGTCTGAAAAAAGACATGAGAATGATAATTTGTCCCATAAACAATTGAAATGAAAAAATGTATTTACGGACCATAATTGGTTATTAATAAGGAAGCAGTCCAACAAAAAATTCTGATCTTTTTATAAAGAAAGCCGATACATTAACTGATTCATCTGAAAAGGAAAAAAAGAAATTTTATTCAATTTAGAACAATGCAAAAGAAAAAATTCTTTTCAAAAAAAGAATAAAGTTAAGCCAAAAAAAGACTTATAGAATAGCAAAAAGACTAGCTGTTCCGGGCGTGTTTTTCCTATTTTTATAATTTGGGAAAGGATTGAATTTGTAGATTAACCAGTTTCAATTTCAGCAATCTGACAGCACTGTCACAATCCCCCTACTCTTTTGTGACACTAAATACCCCCCCCTCCCCCTCCCCCATCCTCCGCCCCTTTAATCCATCTATCTTTCCACCCTCAATAGCCTAAAAAGAGACGTGGGTTCATATGTGACCATCTTTTTTCATCAGGTTTAAAGCTTTTCCTCCCGAAAAATTTTTTTTCAATTATTTCTTCTCGAGTCGGCTAATTCATTTTAAGTAACTTGCTTTTTTTTGGAGCCAATCATTTCTACATTTACTACAATTTATTTTCTCCAATTTTAAAAAAGGTTGCCACAAAAACAAGTGAAAAACAATGAAATTAACCTTTATATAATTTGAGAGCTCAAATTTAACAAGAAACGTGGCGGGCTAAAAATTTGTGGAAAGGGCAAAAGCGCATCTTCAATTAGTTCACATTTTGGTCACAAAAAAAAACACTTTTTTTTAAATGAATGCCATTTGAATATTTTCAGCTTAAAAATCACCGCTGAATCTTTAAGTACCCGGTTGACAAAAAATGCTAGTCATACAATTCCCATACAGTTTACCATACCGTTCAAACGTTTAAAAAAGTGTATAAATACTATATGACTAGCATTTTTTCCATACTATGGAACTGTATGGCTAGCATTTTCTCATAATGACACTGTATGGCCATAAATGGGAACTGTATGACTAGCATTTTTAATGTATGGCGGTCAACCCGGTGCATAATTATTACGTAACTGATTTTTTTTCTAGTGACCCTAGCTTGGTCCGTTGATTTCGTATTAGGTCGTGTTAAACCATGGAACACTGAACCTGTCACGCCAATTCAGACGGAAAAAATAGACACCGGTCAAAATTCAAATTGAATTTTTATATTTTCATTTAATTGTGACAAAAGGTACGTTTAAGACATGCTATAAGTGGTGACCGGCAAATAAGACGACAGCCGTTAAGGCGACAACTGTTTTTGATGGGACTATAAGACGACGCACCACGCAAATCTCCACAATAGTCTTTTTGAGAAATTCAAACCGCTTAATTTCGAACTGCTCATTTTACATGTAATAATTCTTATTGGTCGTTTTAATGGCCTGTCGTTTTATTTAGCTAGTACCGCTATAAGTATCTAGTTTCGATACCATGGAACTAGTTTTGCTTTCCATTTTTTTCCCATAAGGAGAAGTTAGAAAACATTATACTTTTTTCTACTTAGAAGCTTCCATTAGTTTTGGCTCTAAAATAACCTGCCTAAGTTAATGAAAATTTTTTAGTCTAGATTGTTTGAACCAATAAAATACATGTGCAAATTGGATATTTTTGAGAACGTTAAGTCAGTTGATTTGTCAACCCGGGGGATCGAACCTCTAGCCTCTGAACTTTGACTCCAAAAACATTCAAAATTATCTTTTGATTTATATTTTGAGCAAGATAGCAGCAGGGAAACTCAACTTGGTGGAGCGGCGTTCAGAACCAAATGAAAAATCATGTAAAACACAACAAAACGCAATTCTATAATAGAAAAATATAGATATTTAATTTCCAAAAAAAATAGAGAAAATGCTACTCACCCACGTATTGTTTTGTGCTGACAAGAATAGCTAGAACTACAAATAGAACAGAAGTGTATCGGTGGTGCAGCTTGTCTATCCAGTCACCGTCATCAGTGGTGTCCTTGACCACTGCTTTTAGCACGTGACCTATCATCATTCCGTCCAGAGATGACTCACCGATATCGGCCCCTGCAAAAATCAGTTTTCACTCAAAACATGAACATCACATAAATCAAGAGAGTCTAGGTTCATCGGGGCAATTTTTGGCACGCTTCCAGTACCGCCTTTTATATTTTGAAAACACCGTTAGCAAATAAAATATGTTAAATTAATTTTTCTTTTGTGAATTAGGGATCTTTTTTCTTATTTCGCCCAAAAATCAATATTTCAACACATCTTGCACTGAAACTAGTTTGCTTCAATTTGATTGGCTACAATTAAAACGATCGCATTTGTATCAACAAAACGAATCAGTGCAATCAGTGTTTTGCTCTCTGCATTTATACATTGAATACTACAGAATTGCAAAATTTGGAAATATGGGCGGAATAAGTTAAAGACCCTGAATTAGACTATAAGATGTGATTGAGAACAAGTGAATACATTTAGATAACTGTTTTGGAAGTACGAGTTTGCAAATGCTTAGCCTTTGGTGCTTTATTTTTTAGGAGGTGGGGGAGATAGTTATAGTGATCTCGTTTTTTGTTTAATGCGATGTTTTATCAAATAAACAAACACTGAAAAAAATCCAACTGGCGTTTTAACTTGCCACAGTTCTGGCGCTTGTCTACTACTATTTTTTTCAAGCTCTTTAAATTGATATTTTATATGAAAAATTGACTTTCAAATTCGATTAATTTTCAAAGTTTAGGGCAAAGTTAGATACATATAGCTCAGAGATAAAAAAAATGTCACACAAAAATTCTGAAAAAAACTTGACATTATGCATTATGGTCAGGGACGGATTTATTGGGGGGGGGGGGGGTTGCGGACGCCTTTTCTTTTTCTCAGGGATTCGACCACCCCATCAACCAAAGGCTCCCTCAGTTGGTTTTATTTTATGTCATTCATTTTATGACGACCAACCGTAAAGTTTTTTCTAAAGGCTACTTTGGCGCCCATTCATATACTAATTTTAAGGGGAGGGCAGAAAGATTTCCAAAAAGGGCAGAAAACAAAATTTTTACCCTAATTTTACATATTTTTAATCTGGTGGAAAAATTTTTGCCTAAAATGGTTTTAAAGGGCGTATAAAAACAACCTTTTCTCAACCCCACGTTTTAATTTCAAACCAAATGACAGACGAAAATTAAGACTATTCTAGACATTTACTAGGTTAAACGATAGCGTTGAAAAAAAACGTCAGTGACTTATGAACATTTCATATCTGGAACTTCGAACCCGAGATTTTTTAGAATGCTAAGATGGTCTTTTCACTTTCCTTAAAAAAACTTAGCCTTGTTATGGTGTTTTATTTGTTTTTAGGGAGGGGGAGATGAATAGAGATATCGTTTTTTGTTTATTGAGATGCTTCAGCAAAAAAATGCTTAGTTGACGAGTCGAAAATTGACTGAATAAAAAAGCACACAAAGCGTAATTATTCCGCTTTTTCTTCGAAAATCGGAAACAAAAATAATTCGAGACCAATTAAGAGACCGTCAGAACATTCATGACTTTGCCCTGATAGACAAACAGGTTTCAATACTTCAGCTTCGAAACTTAATTGTGAGTTAATTATCTCTCAAAAACCGGTGATTTGATTTAAGTTTGATAAAAAAAATTATAGCAAGCCCAAAAAAGGTGCTCAGTGTAACTTTGAGGGAGAAAATCTAAACTGGCTACACTTGGAATTAAGATTTTTTTATGTACACTGAATTTATTTCCGACTTTTTACAGGCTGCAGTGGCATTATTGTCATACATTCAGGGTAAAAATATTGTACACCATTTTTTTTTCAATTTAGGACCTATGAAAATCCGAAAATGGTCGTAAAATTGCCATTAATTTTGAAGCTAGGTTATTTCAAAAACAGCAGTGAATAAGAAAATGCTTATTAAAAATGATCAATTATTATTTTTTTCCGATGTAAAAAGAAAACATGGATGACATTAAAATCATTTTCCTCAAAAACAGGACGAAAAAAATCAGAAGTCTATTAAAAAGTTATGTTTCTTATATTCTGAGAATTTTTATTACTTTTTGCAACCAGCATCCCAAGTTAATTGATCCGGCTTTTATAAAAAGTTTTTTAAAAGCAGATCTTTAGAAATGGACTGTCAGCAAACCTTTTAAAATGTTAGAGTAAAAAATGTTTTAGAATGGTAAGAAAAGTTTAAGTCGCGATTTTGGTTTAATTTTAGAATCATAAAATTTATTTAGTTGCAGGCCTTTCAAAAAGAAATTAAATTAATTTGAATATGTGATTAAATCATTAGATGAGTTTTTACTTCAGAATAGTTTATTATTATGTCCATTTCAACTTCAAGTTTCTAAAATTGCGTCTCATCCGCGCTGTCATCAACGAAACTGAAAACACTTTCATAATTAGAATAAAGACTTACAAGGGATTTGAAGTGCTGTATTTCAATTTTGAATGAATAATTTTGCCTAATTCTTACTCTTGCTTACTTTCAAAATGCCAATCACAAGTTAGAGTAGATTAAAATACATACTTCTGTTGTCCTGTAAGGAAATCTTATCTAAGTATTTGAATAAAAAAATGTTTGGTTGTAAAAATTACCAGAAAAGATGAAATGGATTTCAAAAAAGAGAATGATCTAGAACGGTCTGAAAAGTAGTCAGTTCTGAGTAAAAATGAAGTCGCGTTCATTGTCCCAATTTTTGCACCATGTACAATAGTTTCGAACATGCATTTTGATATTATTTAGACTCTTTGAAACAAAAAGATTAGCTTATAAAAGTTTTCGAGTTGATAAAAAATTATAATTCAATGCGCCGATGAAAAATTTTTAAAAATCGAAGATATCTTTTTTGTTGTTTTTCTTGTTTGTCAATTAAGTTCATGTTTTGCGAGCATTCTAATCAACTAGTACTAAAAGATTCGAAGCATAAAAGATTCGAATGCTTTCGAGAAGTTCTAATGAACTATTCTGAGAACGCACTCAAACTCAGTAAAAAGTTGAGAAACCACTACAAAAGCTAAAAAATTACACACTATTAAACATTGTAATCATTAAAAACTTCCAAAGTCAAATTGTAATCGTTCAAGTTATTGTTGAACTCAACTTGTTTCGTTAAAAATGACATTAGACAGGATTTCTTGGCAGTATAAGTAAAATTGGGACATAAAACGGATGAATTGCATAATCTCCCCCCGTACTGACCAATTGAACTGACTGAAGTATATTATCTGAGTGACAGGAAAATTCGAAAGTTTTTCAAACATTTTTTGGAGTTTTTGTTAGGGCAATCTTTGATTACAGGAAAGCAAGTAACCAAGGTTGATGCTCTAACTTTGGATATAAATACTAAAACTGTTTCATGCAGCACCTTAATAATGTACATCATCATAGCACATATTTTTCATTTCAAACAGAGAAAAATTGATCTACAGGCAACAATTTTGGTGATAATTTTGATTTTGAAACAAGTTGCGAGTTTTGATGCTGTTAATTTTGGTGTTTTATATTCGTTGGAGAATTTGGTGCATGATTTTTCAATTAACTATTACATAGTTCTAGAATTGTGCTACGATGAAAATACTTTGAGATTTAACACTAGGTTGGAATCAAAAGGAGTCACAAATTTTTTTCAATTCTTGAAGAAACATTACGAGGCCAAAGTGTCACTGGACAGACGCACAATTTTGTGTCTATATGTTCCTGGATTCAGGAGACAAGTCTTTATACATGTTAACTTTTTGTATGAACAATCAAAAGAAATGAAAGAACAGAAGAAGAACAAAATGAGCGTCCTTGTTGCGGAATCCGCTTACATTTCACAAAATGCACAGTTTGACCTCGTAATGAAGTGACTTATTTTTGATCGAAATTGCGATTTTTCATATAGATAATTGTTGATCAATTTTTCAGTTTTGTACTTCGATGGATATGCTGATAAATCGGGCTTGAAACTGAAATCATCCGAGCTTGAAAAATTCTCTGTACTTGTTAAAGGATACGTATGGCCATTTTGAGGTATTTAATTAAAGAATCTGTTCCAAATTTTTAATAACGGCGAAAGACGTTGCTTAGAAAAGTAAGAAAGTTAATTGAAACATTTTAAATGGCACAATCATTGCTCAATTGGACGAAAAAAAAATATAATTTCTTACTCCTAACTAGGCGTTGAGGTTTGGGTCATTTTCTTAAACCAACTATTATTTCAAACACGTTACAGGGTAGTCGAAAAACTAAAATTGTGACACTGAAACATGCATTGTTGCTTCCACTTGGGTCTTTTACGCTATGAAATTGGAAAAGATTTTTTTTTGTATAAAGCATAAATGATAATTAAGAGAACTAAGCAGCAAGCGTTTTATAACCTGTCTCAAAAAATTATCTGGTTCAAATGAAGAAAAATAAAAAGAAAAAACAAACTACTTTTTGAAGCTACATGAGAATGGAAATTTTGAAAATTTCATCGATGAATTTCACTATTAAATAAATCCGTCTCTTTGTTTAGTTTCGTACTAATATTGCCCGCTGAAGACGAAAGCTGAAGAACATTTTTTTTGTTGTTCCTACCATTAAACATGGGAAAACTTTGTTTTTGGGTGTCTCTTAGTTTTTTTTTTATTTTTTTTTGTTTCCCACGCGAAAAACAATCATCGAAATGAGCCGAGTGATATATCAAATTAGAGCCCTCTGTCGTTATTTGAACAAAACAAAAAAAATTAAGACATCGTCACAGTAATGAAAGAAACTGATTTGAATTTGAGATTTAGTCTAATATCGAGCGAGTAACACGATCAAATAACGCTCGTATCTTTGATATCAAGTATCGCTCGGTATCTATGAACGTAAACAAATACCAGTAAACAAATAGAGAAAATTAATCAATAAAAGTCATGGAAACCTTTATTTTCATCTACCAACACTGTTTCAACTTTGGGAAAAATGAAGCAAAACATGTTTTCGGGTATTTTTTGCCAAGTTTTCTCAACAGTCTAAGAAATAATGCAGATCAACTCAACAATTGCCTCTTTATGATAGCTATAAAAAAGTTGAATAGTTTAAGCAAAAACTCATTTTTAGCAGATTCAGTTATACAGCGGGTACAATTGGTTGATGTGACTGCAGATGTAAAAAAAACAGTTGTTGTTTCAAGCATAACGATCAGTCCACGTAAATTCTTGCAATTACTAATGAAATACTATGAGGGAACACCCCCACGATTTTCTTGCATTTTTTGCTTCTATTGGTCGGCTCAACGAAATGAAGAGAGTGATTGACCGTTTAATGATTAAAACTAAAGTTTTTCTACCGATTGTAAGCCATCTTTTCGTTAAAGTGTATGATAGACCCTTTTTATATAACTGCTTTGATGACAAGTAGCTATTTTCGTGCAATTGTTGGTTAAAAAAAAATGCCCTGTAACTTATCGCAGGCTTGTTGCTGGTGTATAATATACCAAAAACACAAATAGGGTCTTTCTGGTCACGTCCACGATGATATTGGGCCTCAAGTGTTATGCACTTCTCATTGATTTGAACAGTAAAATTGCGTCCACCAAACTTAATAGATATTTTAAGTGAAAATCGGGACCAAAGTTCGCGCAGCATGGCAAATGCGTTGAAAATAGATGGCTCAGAATTGATATGGTCAATTTAAGTTAAGAAATTTTTGCGTTCCGGCCTTTCCAAGCATATTTTTTTTTCATTTTTTATGCCCACAACAGTAATAGTTAGCATTCCGAACACCGAGGGCAGCAAGAAATCAGGTTAAAGTGTTTTAATTCTAGTAGGCATAAACTTTTGTTGTTCAAAAAAGCATTTTTTCTTTAAAGTTTACTTTATTGTTCCGACAATAATCGATGAAAATGACGAAATATTTGTGCTCGGGATGGTTTTTTTCTCCTGACGAAATTTGACTTTTAACTAGCAACTTTCGACAGCTTTTCGTATCATTTGAACGTTATTGTTACCAGAAGCTGAAATTTAAAATGATACTTGACCGTTGATCGTTTTTTTGTAATTTTAAAGGAGTTTAATCGTTCCGAATTTAGACAATTTAGGACAACCAATTTGCCATATATTTCGTGCTATTACCCCTTAAGCGGAGATTTAAACCGTCTTAGAAATCGATCAAAATTGATTTGAGGATGCTCTTTTTTCGCGTTTTTAATACATTGCTAAATGCACATTATATCACTATGTACTTAACATGTGTGTGTTTTTACGAATGCGGGAGAATGATTTTCATAAAAATGGGAAACTTTTCCACTTTCTTAATGTTCATCAATTATTTTGAATTAAACTTACTCTATAAAAATTATAATACAGTCAGAGCATTCAGGGCTTTACCCTGATACGAGCAGTCTTGTTTCAATTTTTTCGTAAAATTTAAGAGGCGGCATAATGCCAATTTGGGAAAATCAACTATCCATATGAAGTATTTTTTAAAACGTAGGCTTTTTTGAACTTTTTTTATCAATTGTTATAAGCAAAAACTACATCATTGACGCTCAAGTGCACTCAAAATCAGGGCTTTGCCTTGATACAAGCAGTGCTGTATTGTTTTGTTGCCGATATGAGTAGGTTAGTACAAAAAGTTATTTAAACATCAACAACCATACATAAAAAGTGTAAGTTTTCGTTAGTGTTGCTGTGACTAAGATTATTTCACATTAAAACTCTACGTTTTGACTTTTCTCAAATTGAATTCCTCAAAAACATCAAAAGAATCAAAAGACCAAATCAGCCAAAAGTAGCTTTAGGCTTAAATTATGCCGGAATGCTCCCCCTCTCAAGAATTTGAAACGTTCGCTGCCAAGAAAGTCCCCCTGTACAAAGTTTGGTTTGAGAAAAGTCGTTGTGATTATAAGACAATTACAGTTACAAATACACCTGTTATACAATTAGACATAATATACTTCCTCTTTGATTTCCCTCTGAAAGAATTCACACAGCTTGATGAACGAAGTTCAGATAAAGCTTTCTTCAGGCTGTTTTTACAACCTCCAAATTACTGGAATTTCAACTGAAAAAATTTAATTCGTCTCGCTAATTGAAATTTTAACAAATTCTTTCAATTATTTGAACAATTATTTGAACGATTAAAAAAAGTTACAATATTTGTTCTAGAATCTATGTCATCTTTTATTTCGCAACAGTTCTCAGCGAAATACCTAGTGGTTTTATTGATTTGTAGACCGGCGTATTAGCATGTGCGCCTATTAGCACGCCAATGTAAAACATTTTGCTATTTCTAGACTTATTTATTGAAATTTATTTACTCACATAGCGTGCTAAGATGTCAAATGCTGAATTAAGGTAAATGAGTTTTCAGTCCTTGAACAATTCAAATGATTTTTCAAAACTAAAAAATACTTGAACTAATTTATTTTTCCGATTGGATTGAATGAACGCCTAATTATAGCAGTTAGCGCATGCTAATAGGCACGCATGCTTATCGCTACACCCCCTACTAATTTAGTCTTAAAACCCGTTTTAATCTTTGCATAGATGTAGGACAGAATTAACAATAAATAAAGTAACATCTTATTTGAAGCAAGAACAAAAAAGATGCAAAAAAGCGTAATCCATTGAGAGAAAACCCCAAAAGCGTGAAATAAAAAATTATATTTGAAAACAGTGGCGTGCTAAGTACATGTCGAGGTCATCCTCGTTTTCAATCAAAATCACCCGACCCCATCCCCCTCGGCGACTAATGATGACAAACATAATTAAATTCGATGAAGGTTTTCCATTTTGCAAATGATTGTGTTTAATCCTCACCGCGAGTTCAGGTTTTGCTCCCACCTTCCAATTAGTGTTTCTAATTATTTTTCAAAGTTACCCCCTTTCGTACCAATAAATTGTATTCGTTTTTTAAATGGACTGACTATAAAAAAACAACTAAAAGGGCCTTTGGCAACATGATAAAATAATTTTGAGAGGGAGGATTTTCCAAAAAAGCGCAATTTTTTAGTAGAAAAAAAACGATTTTTTTTTCAAAATGTTGTTTTCTCAAAAGTTATTAAAAGAACCATTTTTTTCTATATGACAAAATTAATTCAATAGGCCCCCCTTCAGTAAAAAAAAAGTTCTTCTACACGCCACTGGTATAGGACTCTATAGGTCAGCAGAGCCGATTATAAAACAATCGGTTAATAGAAAGCCACCCCAAAGCAGACAAGCGACCCCAACAGGCTAAGAATGCAAAACCGGATCAGCATAGACCTACCCGCCCGGGTGAAACGCATGAAACCAGCATCATCTGCAAGAGGCAATTTGAAAGCAATCAATCGTTACAGTCAACACCAAATGCTTAGGTGAAATGAGTTCTCCCCACCCCCCCCCCTACTTTTTTGCTCTCCCCGGAAAAAAAGTTGCTAGTGACTAAAATTTACGGGTCTCCTTAATTATCCCCCCCCTAGGGTGCCTTAACGAACTGCCACCCCTATAAACAAATAATTCAATGGTTAAGTATTGACAAACTTTTGTACCCAGTAACCAATCTCCCCCCCCCCTTTGTAAAGGCGGGGAAATAGTTAAAAAGATCCAAATTTAATGCGAACTTTTTTAAAAAGTAGTTCTAAAATTTACAAGTAACAAACATAGAATTTTTTAACTACTGTTTTAAGAAGTAACAAAAAAAAAGAAAAAATGAATGTCAATTGAGAACATAAAAAACTTTTGAGTGTCTAAAATTTTTTGAGAGCCCAGAGCTGTTTGAGAACTCGATCGGTCTTAAGAATGCAGAATTTATCTGATAGTTTCTGCGATTACTGCGACTTACCGACATTTCGCTGCTGTGCAGCGACAGCCGAGTGCTGCAGTTGACGCTGTCGGATGTTCCTTTGACCCCTGTAGTGAGCAGCAGCCCCCCTGTTCACCCTCCCCCTCGACTTGCCCCCCATTCCCCCCATGGAACGGTTCTGCATCAATCTGACGTCACTGTTCGGATCCATTTTCTTTTCTCTCTCTTTTTTTTTCTGGTAAAATTAGAAAAGTCTTTCTTCGTCAAATAGGCTTTCTTCTTCAAATATGAGCTCGGTATTAACGATTACTTTTTCTCTGACAATTCTTCCGTCGTTTTATTAGACAACCAACTGTTCTGGTATGATGAGGCTCTGTCGTGTTTTGATAAAATTTCAGTTATATTCAATTTATAACCGGAAAGTCTTTATGGTAACTGCTAACTAGATGTTCAAAGGTAAAAAATAACCTTGTAAGCGAGCGAAAATTATTTGGTCTGACTTTGCCGCAAAACACAGATTTCCTTTTTTGTTTGAAGACAAGTTAAGTAGTTATGCAATTGGCATTTTTCCGTTTGCTCTTTGAATCCAAATAGAGCTAAAGACTTGAAATTGAACTATTCTCAGTGTTGCGAACACCCTTCGAAGTTGCTGTTTAGTTGAAAATTAGTCAAATTTTTCCCTTTAGTTCAAAATTGGTTCACAGTTAGCTGGGAGTTGTTTAAAAAGCAAATGTTGCAAATTACTTTTGACGCAATAATAAATTTGCAATCAATAGGGTTCAAGATTTTTGTAAAGTAAGCGCGATAGCTGTCGGAAATGTCTGTCTTGAGATGGACGGGTTTATCTTAGGTAGTCCGGAAGTTTCAATATCTGGGCGTGAAAACTATGGTAATATTTCTTCACGATTTCAGATGACTTTTCACCAAGTAAAAACGGCGACTTTCCTTGAGAAGTTAAATGGCATAATAATAATTCTTGAATTTCATTATGCAAATCGTAAGTGATCTTAGGTTAATAAAGTTACGAAATTGGTTTAGCCGCCGAAAATATTTTCGAATGGGGAATTGTTAATCTTTGACAACTCTTACTAGATTAATTAATTATATTGTGGAAAACCAGCCGCATCAAGGCACCCTGTGAATTAGGAAACTTGGTAATATACCGTAGTAAAAATCGAATATATTAAATTTCTCCTAATATAAAAAGTTCCGAGGAGCGTGAAATTAAATCGAAGTGTTGGGTTTGAACTTCGTCTTGAAAGTGAAAAAGTTCTTGATGGGGTTGGGAGACGCAAATTAAAAACGGGTCTCGAATAGTCAAATTGTTTAAAAATGGGGGATTTCGCATTTAATTTGGGCCGATTTTGCCTTTCTTTTCACTTGCGTATACGGGCCAATTTCTCTTTTGTTCTGGGCTTAAGCTTGACAACTTTAGCAGTTCGGGTCTAAGCTCAATTCCTTTGAGCTTTGGGTTGTGTCACTTTTTGAAAAAAAGTTTAATAACATTAATGCATATTTGGGAACAAATAAATATACACATGGTGTACTAGCTGACACCAAAATGCCCCCGAAAGCAGTTCCCTCTCCCTCTTTCTGAAAGGGTATTTTGCCCAGTGTATTGCTAATATAATAGTATGCAAGTGATAATAACCCGGAACAACATCCGTCAAGAATTTATAACTTGTAATTTCCCATTTTTATAAAAAGTAAATCCATCGCAAATTAAATAAGTTCGCGCCTTTTTTCTATTTTTGAGCACATTAAAGGGGTATACAAGTCGGGAAAAATTTCGTATGCTCTGAATAAACTGTAGCTTAAGGACTATTTTGACAGGCTTAATTTCATAAAATGATAGCGAAAAATTAAGTAATAATTTTTGCTTTCTGCAGAGTAAGCCCTTGAAGGAAAACAAAAATATCAAGTTTAAAAATGCAAATTAAAACGTCTAAAATAATTTGTGACGGAAACGATCAGCTAAAAATGTGTTTAAATCTCCGTCTATGTGAGGCGGAAATTATCAACTCTAATGGATTTTTGAGCAGAACAGAAGTGGTTGGCTCAGAACACCTTTGAAAACGACATAGTCGAAATAATTTTGCAGAAATGAAAGACAAAAAAAGAACGCCAAGTGAAGTGAAAATAAATATTTTTGTGAAACCGTCAAAAAATTGTCAAGGGAGACTACTTAAAAGACGTTTTAGCTCAATTGTTGTTGTGTACACAATAATTTGAATAGAGCTCCTTCCTTTTTTCGATAGGCAACTACAATAGATTTGGCTGGTAAGAAAAATGCATTTTCATTGGCTGACAAATCGGCGCAGATGGCTGAAATTCTAGCCTGAAAGAGCCTTAGGAAAAATTTTCAGGAAAATAAGGGGATAAGAAGAACGCACCCCGTTCTGAGATTGTTGTTATGTTGTCTATGTTATAACTAGAAACCTAGTTAATGAGATGCATATGTAAGAAACAATAAACTGCCTCTGTTCTTACATGTTTATTGGCGTGTGTGCAACTGAGGCCAAAAAATGCTGGAAATGATTGTAAAATCCGGGCAATTTTGATTTTTCAAAAGCATGATTTTTTTTTTACAAAACGCCGTAACCGATTTTTGAAAACGGGCTAAATCAATAGTATATTTTTGTATGTTAATTTATTGAAACTTTTATTACTAATGTCTCCTAACCGAAAACTTACAAGTGAGTTTATGTCTGTTGTTCGCCGCAATGCCGCCATTTTGTCATCTAGATACGGTGCAACTCTTATATAATTCAAGGCAGACTTTAAAAATTTTAAGTACTCAGTATGAAATTGAGTTCCCGGGTCAAAATTTATTAAAAAAAGATCAGACCAAATCGAACCAAAAAAAACGAAACATTGTGAGCCGAAACAATAAACCGAGATTATCCATGATTCGATTCTCTCTCAAAAATCTACAAGCAGACTCAGATTTTGCCAAGCATAAAAAGTTAGACTGTGTTTAACTGAAAACAAAAGATTCGACTGAAGCTCACCCGCACTCAGTAAAAAGAGAAAATAATAGAATTTAATAGATTTTTATTGTCAGTCTCCATGAATTACCAAAAGAATTGATTTTAATCGATTAAAAAGGGATTATAATGTTGCTATTTTTCGAAACAAAAAAAATCTTTATAACAGATTATAACAGATTATAATCGATTATTTTATGAGAATTTTTTTTTTGAATTTTTTTTTGAATTATAATCCGTTATAATGGATTATAGTCCATTATTATTCGACAAACGTCATCGCTTCATTTCGTTTTAGTTTTGTTTTGTTTTGTGTGCTTTTCATTTGGTTACCGAACTAAAAGAAACTGTAATTTTTGTACTTATAGCCACCAGCGAAATTAGAAGGGGGGGTGAGGAGGAGGGTAGACGCCCCTCTCCCCTCAGGAATTTCAACCCTTGCCGACGACCCAAAAGGTTTTCCCATTTTCCCCATTATTTTGAGATCCCCCACTATTTTGTGGTCCCCCACTATTTTCAGATATCCATTTTTTGCTTAATGACCCTAAGTTTTTTTAACGGTGCCTAATACATATTAGTTTTGAAGGAAGGGCGCGCCAAAAAAAGCTATTTTTTGGTCAAATTTTTCCAAAAAGTGCTTAAAAATGCCTTTTTTGGGCCGTTTTTTTTCAAAATTTTGCCTGTGGTGAATAAAATGTGACCAAAACAGGGTATTTTTAATGCATTGGAGAGCTTGGAATCAATATAGTCAAGCTTTATAGGGTTTAGGAGACCCCTTAGTGAAAATCCTAGATGCGCTCTTTGTTTACTGATCCTTACTTCTTATTGATTTTTACTGTGTTTTCAGGCAGAATAGCAAATTATAATCCATTATATTTGATTTTTCCTGTGAAATATCATTTTGATTGAAAAAGGGACTATAATCTATTATAAGAGATCAAAAGAGATTTTCGGAAAAGTTATATTTGATTATATTTATTAAAATCTCACCAAAAATTTTATCATTATAATGGAATATAAATCGTTTAAACATCTAAAATTGGCGCTTATAATTAAATATAATTTTGTTAAAAGTACGATTATAATTATAATATAATCGATTATTTTCTCTTTTTACTGAGTGCGGGCAAGCCAATAACAACTGTCCGACCCAAGTTTGACCAAAAAAGAGTCCAAATCTGATCTAACCAAAAAAACCAAAGTGCACTTTGAGACGTTTGCAGCATTTGAATAAATTTCTGAGTTCACTGAAATTAAAACCGCTCTACTTTTTTTCGAAAACATGCTTTAAGTTAACATCTTTTTTGCTCTACAATCTTCGCAAATCGCTAATTTTGAAATGATTCAGATCAGGGGCGGATTTAGGGGGAGGGGCGTGTTCCCCCTGCCGACCCAAAGGGTCCCCCTTTGTACAAATTTGAGATATTCGTTTTTAATGACAGACCCTAAAGTTTTTCTAAAGGCGCCTTTGGCGCCAGTATATATTAATTTTGAGGGGAAAGAGCGCGCCTAAAACCCGCAATTTTTTTATCAAAATTTTCCATAAAGTTCATAAAAACGCACTTTTGGCATGTTCTTTCTACATCTTGCCTGCGGCACAAAAATTTTGGCCAAAACAGGTTCTTTTTAGTGCTTTGGCAGAGTTCGTGAAATCAATTTGGTCGGCCTACAAAAAAGATTTGAAAATCCGCCCAAAGCCCCCCTCGAGAAAACCCTAGATCCCCTCTTATCAGGGGCAAAAATTAGATTAAAAAGATTGCGACAGTTTTTTCCTACAAATGTTCAAATACCGTCAAACTAGATTTTGGAGTGTTCTGAATTTTAGCTCTCCACAGATGTCCTGAGAAGAATTTAGCGTCCTTGTTTTTTCAGTTTGAGGATATAAGATGGAGTCAGGAGTTAGGAAAAGGGCAACCCATCTTCGGCATATATCTTCTGAACAAAAACAATCGCATCCACAATATTAACGTATTAGCCCTATTCTTAGGAGTTACGTTGTGATCTCGGGAAAATGAGACCTATCTAGAAAGTTTGTTCGCTATCCTACTGACAGTAGAAAGTTTGTCGACTCATTTTACGAAAAAGCACAATAAATCGGTTTAGGTAGAGACGGTAAATTGACATGAAATCTAAATTTGCCGCTAGTCAGTAGTTATTAGATTAGATTTTGCTTTAGGTCATTATTTTCTTTCCGCGCAAGTGTTTCGCTACGGAAAGCCATTGAAAACGCGCAGATTTTTGATTGCGTTTTTATTGGTTTCAACGAGTTTTGATTCAAAATCACAAATACCTAATCTTCATATGTTTTTATTCATTTATTTAACAGAAATAAAATTATCTAATCAGAAATAGTTCATTACAAAATATGGACCTTTTCCGGTCATAAAATTTTTGCTGGAGGCTGAGCATCACTGTCTTGGGTGATTCGATGTGTAAAAGTATTAAGTACAGAATTGCCGGAACAATGATATATAATTAGTTTAAATAAACTAACCTCCTATCGAATGGCAAATTAATTAACCTACTCTATTGGAGAGCCAAAAAGAATTCTTTTTTAAAATCAATATGACTGTGATTACTTAAACAAGTAGCCTTCATTAAGCAATGACTAAGAATTTGAAATTTTAAAAAGTAATTGAATTGATCACAAGTCCCCTTAGTTTGTCCCCTTTACACAAGCATTGCAGAGTAAAACAGTTTGCGTCTGATATTGTATAGAAAACAAAAATTTGTGTGCGATAATCCAATTTGAAATGATATAACTTGCCACATACGGTTTGCCTGTATGAAACAAAACCCGCATAAATTTCTCAAATCTAGTCAACTTGACGGTTTTTTACCCTTTATAACTATACCAAAGAAGGTAACAGATGAATTTTTTTACAAGTCATTAATAGTTTTATGATAATAAACAAAAATCTATTGAACAAGGCTCGTTGAAAAATTGTAAAACTATTGCGCCACTTTTTTCGAAAGACGGAACAATAATATATGAGAACAATTCATGTTTGGAAGAATCATTTCTAAAGTTTTTAATTACTTTCATTTTTATTTCAAGGTATTTTTCAAAAAATGCTTCTAAACAATCAACTAAAAAGTCAGTGAGCTATCAAGCAAAAAATCATTTCTGAAAAATGTGTTTCAAATATTGGAATTGATATAGTTTATTCTATTTATGCATTGAATCGTCGAGACAACTCTTTGTAATTACAACTTTTCAGATTTCTCGTCAATTGTATTGGTGTTGGTCTATTTGTGTTTGGTCACTACTTTTTGTTTTGTTGGAGGTTGTTTTGGATGGTTTTTCCTGGGGATATTGGTGTCTTTTTATTTTTAGGTTTCAAGTCTCAAGGAAGCTTTATATTTATCGTATCTCTAAGCATGATCAACTTTTGTAATTCTCAAGCAGTTAGAAGCGATTATTTAGATATTAGATCCATTCTAGACGCTCTGGGTCTGGTAGGTTCGATACTGTAGTGATTATGATGTTAACACTTGAGAACGCTATTGAAACACAACTTAAAACTCTTTCTCTTAAATTAAAACTCTCTAAAACTCTCTCTAAAACTCTTTAATTACTTTCATTTTTATTTCAAGGTATTTTTCAAAAAATGCTTCTAAACAATCAACTAAAAAGTCAGTGAGCTATCAAGCAAAAAATCATTTCTGAAAAATGTGTTTCAATTATTGGAATTGATATAGTTTATTCTATTTATGCATTGAATCGTCGAGACAACTCTTTGTAATTACAACTTTTCAGATTTCTCGTCAATTGTATTGGTGTTGGTCTATTTGTGTTTGGTCACTACTTTTTGTTTTGTTGGAGGTTGTTTTGGATGGTTTTTCCTGGGGATATTGGTGTCTTTTTATTTTTAGGTTTCAAGTCTCAAGGAAGCTTTATATTTATCGTATCTCTAAGCATAATCAACTTTTGTAATTCTCAAACAGTTAGAAGCGATTATTTAGATATTAGATCCATTCTAGACGCTCTGGGTCTGGTAGGTTCGATACTGTAGTGATTATGATGTCAACACCTGAAAATGTAACTTATAACTCACAAATATTGAAACACAACTTAAAAATCTTTCTCTTCAACCTCATCTGATGCTTCGATAAATATACACAATCATCATTTGCTCAAAGACACTTAAACAGCTCTCAATTTAAAAGAAAGGGGTTTTTGACAAAAACATGATAATCAATTCATTTTAGATTGAAACGTTTACGATAATTGATTAAAACTCTCAGCTTTTTAGAGATTTCTTTGAGAAGCTCGTTTTTGTTCGCAACCCATTCC